CCCCGGCCCTTCCCCTTTAAGGGCTCCTTGGGCCCAGCCAAGCCCCGTGTCTGCTCTGCAGCCTCAGTAGGGACAGGAGGGGCTGTGCTGACCCCCCAGCTAAGCTGCCCAGCCTCAGCACAGTCCCAGCCTCCTCACCTTGGCCTCGAAGAAGCTCTTGGCCCCCTTGACGCCCTCGGTGGAGACGTCGATCTCGGAGAGGCGGGCCAGCACGTGCAGCCCGCTTTCCTGCAGCTCCCCGGCCGCTGCCTTGCGGAAGATCAGGAGGAACTGCAGCGGGACAGGCACCAAGGGTCAGGTGGGGACCGGAGGGGACAAGGTCTCTGACCATACCCGGGCCCCAGCCTCAGGCACCCCGTGAGCCTGGCTCATAGGCCTGGGAGCCAGAGAGCTGGGTTCGCATCTTCTGTGTCCCCTGCCCTTCCCTCTGCGGGCCTCTGTCACCCAGGTGCAGGATGGGAGGGTAGGCGACTCGGCCTGCTCTCCGGGTCGGAGTTACTGTGGCCCTTCTCCGTCCACATCTAGTTCCTGCAACCCAGCATTCATCTCCACCCTTCCCCCAGCAGATACGTTCTCTACTCAGCTGTAAAGGCACAGAAGGCTCAGAGACAGGAATGACGTGTTTGATGTCCCAGTGCCAGGAAGTGCCACAAGGATTTGAACTTGTGTCCTCTGGGCTGCCCTCTCCCCACCCCCTACCCCCTGGGGCCGCTCATCCTCACCCAGGCCCTTGCTACCTTTCTCTCCCCTGCCTTCTTTAACCTACCAAGTCCAAAGTTGTCAATTCGGTGAGCACAGTAAATTAGTGCAAAGTCACAAGTGGTCTGTTGCACCGCTTAAGTTTTTTTTGGACAAGGGCACAACACTGGTTAGGCTTCCTGCCAGCTCTCGAGGGCCCAGGACTCCTGCAGAGGCCACCCGCCCTGCATCTGACCCTGTGCTGCCTGGGTCTAGCGCCATTCCTAGGTGGCTCTGAGCCTCTGTTTCCTCCGCCACCAACCAGGCTTGCCCTCGGCGCCTATCTCAGTGTGAGGGAGGCGACCCTCAATGTCTAGCTACCCAGCACTGAGCTAGTGTCCTCTTGGCATCTCCTCCTCCATAATGCAGGAGACTCTGAGGACAGGGACTTTCTCTGTACCCTCAGGGCCTGGTCAGGTTTGGGGATACAGAAGCCACTCAATATATGTTCCATACACGAAGGGCTGGACAACTGTCCTCGTCTAGGGCATCTCAGAACCCCCCTGGTGCCTGCTGTGGGACGCCCTTGAAGCCTCACGTGGTCAAGTGTCAGTCATCAACAAGGGGTGGGGGAGGGTCAGTGTCACCCTGGCCACCAAGATCTCAGGGACAGCCTTGACGGAGGTGCGCTGGGCAGTGCTCACCTCCCGGAAGCTGAGTTTGCTGTCCAAGTCCTCGTCCACCTCCTTGATCATGTTCTTCAGGCCCAAGTGGGTCTGGGGGGCCCCAAGTTTCTCCATCATGAGCTTCAGTTCCATCAGGTCGATGAAGCCATCCCGTCCGGCATCGTACCTGTGGGCAGAGAGAGAGGGGCCTGAGGACATCTTGGCGCACCTCAGACTTCACTGGTGAGAGGCAGCAAGTCTGAGAGTAGGGATCCCGGGGGCCCAGAGGACACCTAGCACCATCATGTCATCCTGTCACGGCTGGAAGGGACCTCAGCCCAGACAGGTCCTGATGTGTGGCTCAGCTTGGTGACCTGCGGCCTTGGGCAACTCCCCACACAGCCTGGGAGCCCCCCAGCCTCCTGCATGTTGAACAATGCTTTTTTTTTTTTGGAACCAGGCTTAGCCACTGACCACATCCCCAGCCCTTTTTATTTTTGAGACAGGGCCTCGCCATTGCTGAGGGGCTTTGAACTTGTGATCCTTCGGCTTCAGCCTCTTGAGCCTCTGATTACAGGCAAGCGCCACACGCCCGGCAGACATTGCTGTTTGTCAAGCCTGGTTGGGAGGAAGCTGTGACCACATGACCACAGTCCCTATGCTGAGTGTGACGTGAACAAGTGAGAAAGACCTCACACCACAGGGTGTGGGCCAACTGAGACGAGCTCCGACCATGGCCAGCACCTGCTGGCCTCAGGACACCCGCTTGGGAACTCCCCTCTCAAAGGGTCCACTTCCGGTGGTGGAGCCTTGTGGGGGAGGCAGGGAGTCTCCACCTCAGACTGCCAGCGTGTTGGGAAGGACATTTTGTTTACTTCCCACCAAACATGTCCCCTAGACACTGCCAAGTGTCCCTGGGGGGCAAAACCGTTCCCAGTTGAGAAGTACAGGTAGAGGAAGTGGCATGTGAACGGAGTCTCTCCCCCTCTTTCTTTTGCGGGGATCAAGCCAGGGCCTGGCACCTTCTAGGTCCCCCTGAGCCACACCCCAGCCCTCCATCCCTCTCTCCATGGAATGAGTGGCTTTTCCCACACAGTGCTTTCTGTACTGGGCATTCTACTTCCTGCTCCCTAGCCTGCCACCTGCTGCGAGTGATGCAAGAACGAACAAGGAATGTCATGTCGGAGGGTCTCTGCCCGTGTCTAGGGCAGTGTCTAGGATGGGGCAGGACCGCAGGTCTCAGGAGGACCAACTTCTCAGGCAGAGTGCAGGCCTGGGGTGTGTTCAGGGAAGAGCTGGCCACGAGCCTGCAGGGGTGGCAGCGCTGGTGATAGCCAGGCCTCTGCCCACGCCTCTTTCTACCAACAACCGCCTGGCAGTGCCAGGGTCAGGCCGCAGGCTGGGTCTAAATGTCCATCTCGACCAGTCTCCTGTGGTACGAGTGGGAGTCAGAGTGGCCTCCAGGCCTGTCCCTAGCTGGGGAGGTGCTGCTGGTGCCTGCAGCACACAGCCCAGGGGATGGGGGCTTATTGCAAGGTCCAGCCAGGCCCTGCCTGTGCCCTGGGACAGCTGGGGAGAGCGGTCGGGGGGGGGGTGAGTTTTTCTAAACCTAACACAATCTCTTCATATCGTCCCCAAGGCCTGCAGTTGGCTGGCTGAGAACAGTGTTGGTAACAGCCGTGTGACACAGGGGGCCCAAGTACCTGGAGGTCCTGCATGAACATATTTCACTCTGAGGCTGCTCTGGGCTCCCACCTCCCTTTGTCTTTCTCTTGTTAACTTTGCATGACTTTAGATATCTAATAGCAGCCACTAACTGGAATCTGCCTTTGCACCAGAACTTAACCTATTCATTTTACTTAATTTTGGCAATCATCTAATTTTGTAATGGAGTTTCAGAGAGGTTAAGTAACCCACCCAAGGCCACACAGTAGTGAAGGTGGAGCTGGACTGTCAGGCTCAAACCTGCACATTTGTGCACAGCCGCTCCCACGTGTCCCAGGGCTGCCTGCAGAGCACAGCCGGTCTGCCTGGAGAGTGGAGGGGAGCATTTGTGGGAGGGGTATAAATAGTTCACAAGTGAGTCAGTGGTTGGAAGTAATGCATACAGGAAAGATGGAACCCTGAAAGGAATGCAGAGTCCTGAGGCCTCGTTCCCACTGGGGGAGTCGGGCCAGAGAGCCTGTGGGCTGCGGCTTGGGCGGAAGCAGGTGCGGGTTGGTGGTGAGGGTCAGGCAGCTCCCATGGCCCAACCTCCATCTCAAGCAGGAGAGGCCTTGCCGGGTGACTGGGGCCCCTCCTTCCGGCTCTCCAGTCTGCCTGCAGGTGGCAGAGCGCCAGGGCTGCTTCAGGACCCCCGAGGCAGCCCTCACAGAGGGGCCTGGTGTGGCACCTGGTCTCTCCTGAGGCAAGTCACTCGGACCCCTCCTCAGTGGCCACCAGGATCACAACCCCTGCTTTCTGACCTTGGGCTCCAAATAGAGGTTGGGGACAAATGTCCAGGCTCTGCAGCCAGATGGCCTGGGCTCAATATTTGCATACTACAGTTCTTCAGGGGTGTGTGTCCCCCAGGGGACATGTGACAATATCCGGAGATGTTTTGGGTTGTCTCGACTGGGGAGGGGGGTGCTACTGGCATCTGGTGGGTCAAGGCCAGGATGAAACACCTCACAGTGCCCAGGACGTAAGAAATGATCTGGCCTCATGTCAGCAGTGTTGAAGTGAGGACCCCTGACAGATCGGTGGCTCTCAGGGGGCCACCGAGGACTGACTGCACCCACAGAGGCCAGGCTCCCACCCTCCAGGGGGATTTAGCCACTAAGCCCCCACTGTGCGTCAGTCACCTCCCCTTTAGCCTCTGTGCTCAGCTCCCCTGGAGGTCAGGATTAGGCAGGAGGGCACCAGCAGGCCGGAGACTCAGCCCCAGCCCTGGGGGTCCCAGGCCCTTCTCTCTGTGAGCCCCAGCTGTATTTGTGACTACAGTGTACGAGTTCCTCCCAAAGCCAGGGGCAACTCGGTCTCAGAGGAAGTGCAGATAAAGTGTCCAAACTTGGAAGGAGACTTGGATTCTGGATTCCTCTGTCTCTGGCAGCTCCCAGACTTGGCTGGGCTGTGGCTCAAACCACACCGTGAACCGCTGCCTGTATCAATCAAGAGTCAATCAATTACCAGGGCTGGGCTCCATCCCAGGCAGCCTCTCACCCCCAAGGGGACCATGCAGGAGTGGCAGAAGTGCCAATAACGCTTCAATCGCCAAGGTGAGGTGACAGAAGGCTGGGGGAGGCCAGGTGTGGGGCCCCGGGAGGAGGTGCTGTAAGACTCCTGTGAACGACATACGCTGTGTGCTCTTGGCCCTGATGCGCTCTGAGGCTGGGGAGTTGCCAGGTCTTCAGGGTTAACTGAGACTGACCTGGATTCAAACCCCAGTTCTGCCACCTGTTAGCTGGGTGACCCTGGGTAAGTCACCTAACCCCATGAGCTTCAATTTTCCCATCTGGGTCAAAGCACTCTTTTTCCTAGAATGAGGATTAGAAGAGGCTTCCCGCCTGTAACAAACCCTTCTTATTACACAGTAACTATAATGACCAATCGTTGTCATTGTTACCATCTACCCTTAGGATTCTTAAAAAGTAACACAACTAGGGATATAAAATGGCTAGCACACAGTAGGTGCATAAAACTTGCTGATTCCACCATAACGGTGGCTGTTGCATGGGGAACCTTCTGTGTTCCTTCTCCCTGCCTCTGCACCGCCCCTCACAGGGTCCCACACTCCCAGCTTGCAGGGTGCCAAGGCCAATGCTATCGGGTGGGACTGACAGTGCTGCCCGGCTGGAGCGCAGCACTTTTCTGCAGTACCAGAGGGAGCCTGGCCCTGTGCCCACATTCCTGCCCGCCTCCCCCTGAATAGCTCTCACCAGGGAGGGCTCGGCAGCTGCTGTCCTGGATGCTGGTGACAAAATCCCCTCCCATCCCCCCTGAAAGTGACATGGCCACCACCCAGGCAGACCCTGCCTTTGGGCTGAGCATGGTCACACCCTGTCGGCTGCTTCCTTCCCCCACCCCAGTTTGGATCCCCAAGAGTCCTCTGTGGCTGGCTCCAGTGGCGTGATATCAGTGCCAGGGCCACACCCAGGCCCGTCCCGTCAGAACAATATTATCTGTCCTAGCTGCTCTGTGCTGAGCGCCTTCTCCAAGCTGGCACTGCGCGCTGGGGTTTCCTTACGAGACCTCCACGGAGCCCGTGCAACACCCCTGTTTAGCAGGTGGGGAGACGGAGGCTCAGAGATGCAAACCAACTGGCCCCAGCCAGGGTGCAGCCGAGATCCCAGCCTGCCTGACCGGAAACACGCCACCTCTGCACCCCGCAACCGAGCTCAGGTTGGAAGGGGCACCGGAGGGCATGTCATTTAGTACCGTGTGAGGGGCAGAGGCCCAGGGCAGCTTTCCTGCCTAGCACCTTGAGCACCTCTGAGGATGGGAAGCCCACTGCTCTGCTCGGGTGGGAACCGTGGTGTGGGAGCACAGGGGACCCCATTCTGTCCCTCCTGAACCCCTGCCAGGCCTCTGTCCCTTTGGGCCTGCAGAGCCGCAGGAAGACAGAGTCTCAGGTGCCCCCAGGACTACCTGGCTTTGGTCACAGCATTCAGTTATTACTCTTGTTAAAATCCACCACTAGGATTATTAAGTAGTAAATAAAATAGCACCTGGCAGGGGCTTCAGACCTACTAATTTCATAGTAGTAATATCCTCCTGCTCCTCCTAGGGAGGCCTGGGCCTCTATGCTCTGACCTGAGAAGTGGGAAGGCAGGTTCCTTGGGGCAACAAAGTTCTAGAGGACAGAAAAGTCTGACCTTGCTGGCTGTTGTGGCCAGCTGGGCCCAGCCCAAGCGCAGGGACAGGCAGGGGTCCGCCCAGTGCTGGTAATGACTAGTTCTGCACACTGCCCCACTGTCTGGTGCAAGTGGGGGAAAGGCCACCGGAAAGGCCACCGGGGCCACTTCCTCTAGTCCTAGCTGCAGAATCTGACCTTGAACCATTACCCTACATCAGCCAAGAGGGGATAGGGATAAAGAGAGAAGGGGGTGGGAAAGAGAGAGAGAGAGAGAGAGAGAGAGAGAGAGAGATCATGAATGAACCACTGTGGTGCTCATGGCTCCACCCTGTTTTTTTTTTTTTTTTGGTGAGTCTGAGGATCAAGTGAGAGCCTCCAGGGTGACAGCAATTGGTAGAGGCTGTCAAGGGACAGGGACAGGAACTTAAATTTTTTTTTTTTTTTTTTTTTTTTTAGTACTGGGGACTGAACCCAGCAGTACTTTACCACTGAGCCACATCCCCAGCCCTTCTGATTTTTTATTTTGAGACCAGGTCTCACTAAGTTGCTGAGGCTGGCCTCTAACATATGATCCTCCTACTTCAGCCTCCTGAGTCGCTGGGACTTACAGGCGTGTGCATCACACCCAGCAGGGTTCAGGGACACCTTAACCTCAAGTTCAACAACACCCTTACAACCAGTCACGACCGTGAAGGAGCATTGCCTGCTCTTGTAGCATCTGGAGTTTGTTTCCTGCCTGTTCTTAATAATAACCGCTGTTGGGCTGGGGATGCAGTGGGAGGCCAGAGTGCTTGCTGGTTCCATCCCCAGCGCTGCAAAAAGACCCCAAAAATGTCATGGTAGTGATTAAAAGAGCACTTACTGAATGCCTAATACACCTGGTCTTTAGTATCTAGCTTACTCCATCATCTTGCTATCCTGAGCAGTCAGATAAGTCATCTTGTAGGTTCACCCTCAGGTCTGCCTGAGGCAGGTGGAGGACAGGCTGTGCCTGGGTGCACACCTGGAAGTTGTGTTAAAATGCAGACTCTGGTCTGGCAGGTTTCACCAGCTCCCCGCTGCTGCTGCTGCTGTGGGTCCATGGACCAAGTGAGTAAGGGGTCAGGGGCCTGGAGTTAGCCAGTCCTGGGTTCAAATCCTGTCTCAGCCTCTTTCCAGCTGTGTGACTGGGCAAGTCACAGAACTCTCTGAGACCAGTGTCCTTAGCTGTGAAATGGGTGATGGAGGTCTTGTAGGATGTGGGATTCAGCAGGAGGCCAGGGGCCTGGAGTGGAGCAGGTCCAGGTGGCCTCTGGGTGGGGTGAGCAGCAGGTGCTGGGAAGGGTCCTCAGGCTCAGGACGCCTCCACGTGGGAGCCACACCTTCCTGGCCTGAGCCCTGCTCTGCTCTCCTTGAAAAGCAGAAGTCGGCCAGGGGGAGGCTGCCGTGCAGCCAGGGGGAGGCTGCTGTGCGGCCAGGGGCACTGAACTGCTGGAGGGTGGGGGCTGTCCCTCCTGAGGCTGTGGAGTGACTCTGCTCCAGTGGCGGGAAGACCTGGGTCCCTGAGCCTGCTGTGACCCCAGATGGCAAACAGGAGAGTCCAGAAGAGGCAGAGGGGACAAGGCAGGCAGGAAGGTGTACATCAAGGGCAGCCGGAAGGTCGGGCTCTTGGCTGCTGCAGGGAAGACCCAACTCTCCACCTGCAGAGGTGCCCCCCACCTCCATCACAGACAAAGGGCTCTCTGCAGGGACACCTGGTTCTAATCCTGCCACCACCACTGGGTACAACCCTGAGCAAGTGACTCAACCTCCTTGAGCCTCCATCTCCTCATGTGTCACACAGGACATACAGATCAACTCCTCTGGGAGCAGGTGTACCTGGCGGCTCACTCAACACAGAGGCAGGAGGCGGGGGCTGGGTGCGGGGAGCACGCAGGGCAGCATTCAGACCTCGTGGTGGAAATTCAAGAACCTTCCATTTCCAGCCCTGCGGGCCCAGCTCTACCCCAAGGACCCCTGCACATCAGGGTTCTCTGTAAGATGCCTCTTGAAGGTAGGAGCTGATTCCTCACTTGATTCTCTAGAACTTGCACACAGAAGAGACTCCACTATTACCTGTGGGTCACGATCATGGGGAGACCTTGTGTCTCCCCAAAGCATCCCCATCATATCAACAGCCTGCAGACCGGGTGCCGCCATGCACTCCTTACAAGGACGGGGCTTTTTCACACTGAATCCTTACTTTAACAGTAGTTCCTATAGCCTCAGGGCCACCCAGCGAAACTGAGCGCCCTGCTTAGGGAGACACAGCTGGGTGGGAGCAGTGGGCACTGGAGTCTCAGCCCTGTGTCTGGCCAGCGCTGCTATGAGCTCTTCTACCACCTGCCTTCCACGGAATTGATAATGAATTCACTCCTCCATTTTTTTCTTATTTATCAAAGCCATACAAAGCTGTGAATCTGAGTGTCTGTTCAGCAGGAAGAAAGGTGGACTCTTACACCAGGTCCCTGTCACTCAGGCCCCAAGCAAAAGATGGTTGCCAGCCTGGCAGCTCCTTTGAGGGTAAGTGGAGGCAGCCAGGGTGGGTGGGTATGACCACCACCTGGGCCCTGCTCAGGACTGGGGTGAGGGATGTTGCCTTGCGGGTGACGGCGACAGCAGCCCAGGAAGTACTCACCCTGGGCCAAATGCTGGGTGAGCCCTTTGAAGCCCAGTGTGGGTCCTAGTTCAACGCTGCTCCAGGGCCCACACCTGGGATTCCAACCCAGGGCTATAGATTCCAAAGGTCCTGCTCCTGACCGCTGCAGGGGAGGGCAGGTGGCCTTGGGAACTTGTGACAGTAAGAGCTGGCCAGAAGGAAAGGGAAACCTGTCTCTCTGACGTAAGGGGTCATGAGATGAGGAAGCTGGGGATAGGGCTGCGGGGCTGGGCGAGACCAGGAACCAGGGCATCGTCCTCAGATTCCACAGTAGGTTCAGGATTACAGGGCTGCCGACCTTGCTGGCAGGTCTCAGCTTACAGAACCCTCCAGAGCCCCACTGAGGCTGTGGCTAGCCCAGAGGTGGGCATCCCTGAGGGTCTCTGGGCTATCCTATATCCCCTCCCCACTGGAACGTTCTAGAAACAGCCCTGGATGGATGGGTAGAGAGGGGAAAGAAGAAGGTCGGGGGCTCGAGGCTAGGGATGCAGCCCTGGGCCATAGGAGAGGCCAGGATGGAGTGGCTCTGCACCTGGCACCACAGCAGGACGCAGCCTGAGAAGCAGGACCCACTCTTCCCACTGTTCAGACAAGGATGTTCTGGCTCAGCCACTGAAAACCTCTGGGTGACCATGAGCAAGTCACAACTCCTTGCTGGGTCGCAGTTTCCTCTTCTGTAAAATGAGGAGGGGGCGGGGGTCAACCCTCAGGTCTCTCCCAGGAGGCACCTACATGGCCCTGGGTGGGGATCAGGTGGCGAGATCCTGTCTAACTTCCCCCTGGCCTTTCCAGTCTCCTCTACCACCGCTCTCAGGATGTATCTGCTGAATCCATGCTGAATGGATGAGCCAGACGTCTCTGGAAGTCAATGCTGACATCCAGACGCTCTCAGGACCCCCTCAGAAATAAGGTGAGAGCCGAAGGTCCTCGGGAATCATCAGATACGGCCTGCTCTTTGAAAGATGGGTAGACTGAGGCCCAGGGAGGGCAAGTGGGCTAGGCTCCCTAGCTCGTGGCCACCAGAGAAAGGCCAGCCCCCAGAGGCCTATCTGCCAGCCCATCTCCTACACTGGGCTGGTGGCAGCGTCCCAGGAGGGCAGGCTCCCTCCCCCCTCCCCTCTCCTCTTAGCCCAGCCCTGGATTTGATGTCCTGGCTGTGATCCCTGGGCCCTGCTGGGACCCGGGAGGCGGCTGTCCCACTTGGACAGTGGAAGCAGAACAGGGGTTTTGTCCTCCAGGAGAGCCTGTCTGTCGGCTGTTCACAGCCGGGCCTCGGCTGGGCTGGGCTGGGCTGGCACAGTGAAGCCTTGTTTCCTTGAATACAAAATCTGCCACTTTCCACCAAGCCAGGGCCCCTGGCGGGTGCCACTTCCTTCCCTAGAGGTCCAGCTTCCTGGCCCCCCTCAGCCCTCCTAGCAGAGGGGACTGGTGCCAGGAAAGGACTGGAAGGCTCAGTTCCCCTACTCTCCATCAGGGCACCCCTCATCAAACTTGTCCCCAAACATCCTGTGCATCTGCAAATACTCCAGGACTTCCCTGCTGCGCCCCTTCTGACCAGACTGCTGCCTCCCAGGCCCTGCTCACTGTGGGGGTCCGGGTTCTCCCCAAACAGCTCCATCTTTTGGGGGGACAGGGATGCTGTGGAAGCCCAAGAGAAGGAGGCCTCTGGAGGAAAGGGGAAACGGAGGCTGGCCGTGGGTACACCAAGAGGGAAATCAGCTGTGCACATGGAAGTGGGTGCTGGGGTGGTTTTCTGATGTGGCCGCAGGTGAGTCTAACAGGAAACTCAGTCGGCAAGAACGGGGGTTTGGGGGTCACAGACCTGGGTTCAAATCTTGCCCTGACCCATTTTTCTACCTATGTGTCTCGGCAAGTTATTTAACTTATCTGATAAATAAGGAGACTCCCCACCCGCGCAAGGGTGATGAAGCCATCTCATGTCACGGGGCTGCTGGAAGGTCCCAGGAACTCATCCCTGCCTCAGTACCGCTATCAATGCAGGGATCTCTGAGTCAGGTCACCGAGGAGCCTCTGGACTTCCCCAGGGCAAATTCCACAAGGAAGTCACACAGCACCCTGGGGCCCAAGCAGTTCTCCGGCTGCTCGGAAATGCGGGAAACCCTGTCCTGACCTGGCCAGCCCAGCCCCGGCTGGGAGGAAACCTTAGAACGCCAGCCAGGGCCTGAATCAGAGGGGGGCTCCTAGCAACCCGGACTTCCAGGCAGAGGTTTGGGGTGGGGTCAAGGACTTGATCTCTGGGAGAGTATGGGGTTTCTAGCCACCACCTGAGTCTGGGAACCAAAACCCTCTTCCCCTGTTTGGGGCCAAATGCAGAAGCTGCAGATGGAGCAGAGAAGTGGGAGACGCCTTTCTCAAGCTGTGGCCCCGTGACACGGCCCTCCCTGGGCTTCCTGCTTGGTTTCTGGGCTGTGAGCTGCTGTGGCTGTCACCCCTCTGCCTGTTCAGGCCAGTTGGCGCCAGCCTTGTCACACCTCTCCCTCGACCTTGGCCTGCCTGTGTTGGGTGGCTAGACCTCTTGTCCTTTCTGCCCAAGACTCAGCCTCCTGGTGGTGCCACCCTCTTCTGGAAACGACTCCAGTCCAGTACCTGTGGGCTGTTCCCTGTCCAGGAGCCAGGGCCCGGGGACAGGCAACAGAAGGTGGGGAAGGCTAACAAAGGCAGGGGGACGGGGCACCTTCACCACTCCATGGGCACAAATATGGCTGGGGAGAGGGGCTGCCCATCTCAATCCCAACAGGGTGGACCCAGGGACAGGCCTGAGGAGGAACTGGCACCTTCCTCTCTAGTTCCTCCCCAGCAGTGTTAAGTTTTGCTCTGTGGGGGGTGAAAGGCTGAGGCCAAGGGCCTGGGAGTGCCCGGCCAACCTGGTGCAGTGCAGTGTGGGATCATGGAATAAAGGGCAGGGGTACATCAGAGAGGACAGCCCCTAGCTGAATGGAGTGGGTGTGGGGCATTGGAGATCCCATGGGGGAGGGAAGGCTGGGTGGTGGGGGGCCTGGTGACAGCAGTGCTGGGTGCAGAGGGCCAGGAGGCCATGAGCAGGGTGGATCTGGGTGTGTAGAAAGAGGACTTTGCCTCCAGGGGGCTGCTTGGGGGCAGTTTGCACGCCCACAGAGTTGGGGACAGGGACTGAGGGGCCCCTTCCCAGGAAGACCACTTGAGGGCCAAAGATTTGGCACTTGGCTAACACACGGGGAATGGGGTAGGGGTAGAAGGGCTGAGGAGTCTTTGCCCACAGTTTTCTAGAAAGATGCTGAATAACTCGAGGGGTGGGGGCGTCCCTTCCAGAACCCATGTTGAGGCAGATCTGAATAAACAGAGGAAAAGACAGGACCCCAACAAAAGGGATGTGTCTGGCACCGTGCAGGACTGGCCTCCCTGGAGAGGCACCGGGTACTTATCTCTGACCAGCCGGTACGGGGTGGGGGTGGGGAAGAGAGTGGCTGGGATGTGGGGGGAGAAGGGAGGTCGCCAGGCCCTCCTTCTCCGTGTGTGTAGGTGTGGGTGGTGGGGGAAGAGTCAATAACAGGGCGCAGGGGCCCGTGGGTCCCGGGACCCTGTGTGGTGGCGGCGGCGGCGGGAGGGGGGATCGTGATTATCTGGGGAGCCCTGGGGCTCCCAGCCCCGTGCGCGCGCCTGTGGTGCACCCGAGGAGGCATCACTACGAGGAGGGGTCACGTGCCAGGGGCCCCGGCGGTCCCCGGACCCATTTGCGTGGTGGGTGGCGGGTCTGGGAGCCTCGTAATGATCTGGAAGGGCTGGAGTGCCCCAGCCGGGTGTGCCGGGGCCGGGGGCGCTGGGCTGGCGGCGCGGGATGGGGTCGGGGCTCGGGCCGAGGCCGGGTGGCGGGGGGCCGGGGCACTCACTGCTTGAACATCCTCTCCATGTCCTTGATCTGCTTCCTGGAGAACTCCTTGAACTCGGTGTAGGGGTTGAAGACGCGGCGGCTGGGCGACTGGGGCTCGCCGATGCCCTGGTTGAGGTCCGCGCGCCGCAGCAGCTTGGCGCTCAGCTCGCCGTCCGCGCTGCCCAGCGCCTCGGCCGCCTCGTCGGGCGCCCCCGCCGCCGCCCCGTTCAGGCCGGGCTGCTCCGCGGCCTCGTCGCCGCCCTCGCCGCCGCCCTCGCCCTCCATCTGCAGCCGCCGGCTCAGCTTGGTGGCCAGCTCGTCCGTGGCCATGGTGGCCCGCGCTGCGCTCGCCTCCGCCCGGCCGCTGCTCGCCGCGCGCCGCGCACCGCCGCCGGCCGCGCTCTTCCTCTTCCTGACACTCCCCGGCGCCAGGCGCCGCCCCCGAAGGTGGGACTTCGGGGACCGCCCGCGCCCCACCCTCGGCCCCGCCTCCCGCTCCCGGCCGGCCGGCTCCCGCCCCGCGCGGGGTTCCTCAGTCGCCGGGGCTCAAGTGGTCCGGCTTCCGAGCCCGCCATCGTCGCCCCGGGTGAGGCCCGGGCGCCACGTGAAAAGCCAGTCCTCCCTCTGCTCCCCCGCGCGGCATGTGAGCCGGAGCGGGGACCGCGGCGGGAAGGAAGAGGGGCTCGCCCGCAGTTTGGGTGTGAGTCCGGGGTTGGGGGCGCCGCCCGCAGGCTCTTCTCTGGAATCCCCTTGCCGTTAAGTCCAGGGTCCATGACATCCTGTCGGTTGCCATGGAGACGACTCGCTGTGCAACGCTGGCCTTCTCAGTGAGGGTTGCAGGGGTCTGGAGAAGCTGGACCCGGGAGCAGGAGCCCAGCTTAGACCTGGGCTGGGGCGGCTGGCCTCTTTCCTGAAAGGAGGGACCAGCAGGAGAGTCCTCCAAGACGGGGAGAGGGGAAAGGGAAGGGGCTGACCCTGTCCTCCTGGGCAGCACCATCACCACATGGATGACTTGGCAGAACAGCTGTGGGGCCAGGTTGTCACCTGTGACTCTACTTTCGGTGGACCACAAGGAGATCTTGATGGTGCCATTTTGATAAAAGCCCCAGAGGAGAGCTATCTTTCCCAAAGACTCATGGGAAGGGGTCTGCGGACTCACAGAGTATCTTCCTAGTCCTGTCTGTCACTTTAAAACTGCAAAGCTGGGGAGCTCCAGCCTCAGAACCACAGTCACAGTCTCACTGGTTATAATACAGATTCCCAGGCTCCAATCCAGAAAAACTGCTCATCTCTGGGATGGAACCCAGGAATCTGCATTTTAACAAGCACCCAGGTGAGTTCTGCTCCCTGAAGTTTGAGAATCTCTGATCCAGTTGGAGGAAGGTACTCTGTAGGTGTTCTCTAAAATGTTCCACGGAGTCCTGGGTGCAGCATCTGCGCCCATCAGCCAAGGTGCAGAGGAAGGATGGACGCAGGGCCTCAGCACCCATGATCTGGAGGCAGAGACACCTGAGAAGGTGAAGCCAGAAAGCTGCTTCAGAGAGGCTTGCACAGAAGACATTCAATTGGCATTTGTTGAGTTCAGAAAATCACTGAATTGAAAGATATTTTAAAGGATGAAATTGAGAAAAGCACTTTCAGAGTTTAGAAAATGTGAGATTTTCATTCACTTGTCTGTGAGATTGTTTCTGAGTCCAGTAAGGGCGCTCAGCCTAAATGGTTTTATTTTCTTAAAGTTCAGAATTAAGTTTCTGTTCTTCTTGTGCAGTTTGGTCCAGGCAGTCTCCCTTTCTCCCTTTGCAGTCTTGAGGAACCCAATGGAAGAAAAATAGTTCACTTAATGAATGCAAATGACCAGAGGCAGGGTATAGATTGGCATGTTTACAGTTAGGTCTGTAGATGTTTAGGTTTGCCAAATTCTTGGTCTTCCTCCCAAAGCAGCTAATTACTTTGAAAACTCTGGCAAGTCTCCACTTGCCCCATCTCATGATTTCTAACGATTCTGCATGAAGCAGGACTGTTTTATTATGGAATGTTTTGCA